ACTCCCAGAAGACCACAGGGAGTGTGAGGGGGAAATGCCAAGTGACATGGCACCTGGTGGTTCCTTAAGGGACACAGAGGCAGGAGACCTGCCCAGAATCTGAAGCCCTGTAGAGAATCTCTAGGCAACGTTGGACCACAGAGTGGTAGGTCGGGGGCAAGGCTGGAGGAGAAGCAGTGAGTAGCTCACTCCATGAGTCCAGTTAAACCTAGGACTGAGCCTGGCTTTGCTGGGTGGCCTTTGAAAGCACCTCGTGTCCCCGGCCTCTGTCTGTTTCTCTAAGGGATATGACTATAATTTCCTTCCTAATGAATCCAACAAAGACTGACATGGACCAACAGATGACTATGTTTGACCACCCTGTCACCAGCAAGGTCCAATGTAGCAAAACAAGAGGCCTGGCCCATCACTGCCACTGTGGTCAAGGGGTGACATCTTGCTTCCTGTCCCTGACATGGTGCCATTTGGCCTCCTAACCATGCTTACAGGTGCTCCCCTCCTCTTGTCTCTCCTCTTCCTACTGTCCCTCCTTCTTCCCTTCCTCCTCCTCCTGTCCCTCTTTTGTCCCCTCTTCCTTCCTCTCCTCCTCCTGTCCCTCCTCCTTCCCTCTTCCTCCTCCTCTCCTTCCTCTTCTCCCTCATCCTCCCCCTTCCTCCTTCCCCTCCCCTTCCTCCCTTTTCTCCTCCCCCTACTCCCGCTTTCTTCTTTCCCCTTCTTCCCTCTTCTTCCTTCCTTTCCTCCCCCTCCTTCCTTCCCCTCCTCCCTCTCCTCACCTCCCTCATCCTCCTCCTCCTCCTCTCCTTCATCCCCATCCTCCTCTCCCTCCTCATACCTCCTCCTCCCCCCCACCCCCCTCCCCTTCTGCCCCCACCCCCCTCCTATCTCTCCTGTGATTAGAAGCATGGGATATGTTTACGAAGGGCTAGCTGAGCCGGCCACAGCACCCAGAAGCTCACCAGTCAGTCCAACCATTCATCAGTCACCTTGCCTGACTCTGCAAAGTCATCAAGACAAACCATCGCTCTTGCTGCTCCCGTCCCTGTGGTATAAGAGTCGGCAGCCCTGACGTCATCCTGTCTGGCTGCACACTTGACCTGTAGGGAGAGGCAAGGAGACAAAGCATTTACACCGGTGGGCTATGGCCCACCAAGAAGCTCAGGGTCCCAACCCTGAGTTCTAGACAAGCTCTTTCCATCCAACCCCAGCTGGGTCTCCTAGACTGGGTACCCCAACCTGTCACCTCTACACAAGTCTCAGTCCACCACCTACAAAGATAGTCACCATCAATCACAAGGTCCAAATGTAACAAAACAAGAGGCCTGGCCTGTCACTGCCACTGTGGTCAAGCGATGACCCTTGTCACCCTTGTGTGTCAAGGGAGTGCTAGACCACACCTTTTTCAGCAAACCCACATCTCTGATCTTTTGGGGCAAATGGATGATTTCATTCTTTATAGAGAGAGCCAAGCTGTAGAAAGGTGGATGAGCCGGCTCCCTTACCCCAGGGTATGTGACTGCAACTGGCAGGACTTGAACCCACATCTGTGAAGTCTCAGCACTGGGCCAGGAACCTATGTTTGGCTCCCAGATGACCTTGGTCTTGTCACTCACGCCCACCCTTCCTCCTTGATTCCTGCTCCCTGCTGCTCTGGAAGGAGTTCCGGCTGATGGTTAGTGCCACCCAACAGGTGTGTTGGTCACTGCCAGCTGCAACTGCCGAGGTCCACAGAGATCACAACTGTGCAGCAGTTCCATAAAAGTTAGCCAGACTTTCCAAGGGCTGCTCAAATCCACTCCAATGGTGGCACCTGACAGGCCAGAGCAGCATCTGTCTGCAGGAAATAGACAAAGGCAGCAGTCAGACCGAGGACCGCTGTCCACAAGAGGAATCTCTCAGGACCTTTGCTGCGATTGCTCACACTGCTCTGGATTCCCACAGAGGAGATGCTATGATTTCCAGGAGGAGAGACGGCAGCAGCTGGCACCTGCTAAGTGCTGGCTGGGATGCAGACCTTTTTCCTCAGAACCCCACACATCAGCTCACTGAGGGATGACAGCCCCAGTGAGCAGCAGACAGTGGCCGCACTGGACAGCTGAGCAGACCGAGGTTCTCTCGGGGAGGAAGCTGCAGCTGGGAGCACAACATCCAGGGGATGGAATGAGGTTGATTTCAACAATTCTGCTTGGCAGTGGCTGGGCCAGCCTTCCCTGAAGAAACTGTGTGTGTGTCGCAGCTCGGCTAAGAGTTTTCCAATATAAAATGCTGTCCTGGCTGGTTTTATGCTAACTTGACACAAGCTAGAGTCATCTGAAAGGAAGGAACCTCAATTGAGAAAATGCCTCCATAAGATCCAGTTGTAGAACATTTTCTTAATTAGTGATTGATGTGGGAGGGTCCAGCCCCTTGTGGGTGGGGCCAATCCTGGCTGGTAGTCCTGAATTCTAGAGGAAAGCAGGCTGAGCAAGCCAGTAAGCAGCACCCCTCCACGGCTTCTGCATCAGCTCCTACCTCCAGGTTCCTGTCCTGTGTGAGTTTCCGTCCTGACTTCCTCCAATAGAGAAAGGAGGGAGCAAGCTGAGGGCAGCCTACTAGCTCGCTCTCTCTCTCTCTCTCTCTCTCTCTCTCTCTCTCTCT